GCACATCATCTTGTGCCTTGGTGTTAAATTTAACACCATTAATAAGATAGCTCCTATATGATAGCATTGCCATGCTTGGACCAGCTGCTAGCCACCTCAAATTTTCTGATACGCTATTATGCTCTTCCCTATTAAGTTCACTTTGAACCTGCAAATTAATCATATATATCTGAATTCAATCTAACATATAGAATGGAAGAAAATTAAAAGTTGAATATGCATGTCATTCAATAACATATATATATATATATATATACCTTAAAGTGGAGCCATTGAATGAAAGTGCTATTGTGCTTATCTTGCAGCCACTTTGTTCTCTTTCTAAATTTTGGATAAGTGGTCTTGATGTGGATCATATGTTCCCTACATTGATACGAAAAAAATCAAGCATTATGGTCCCTTGTATGTAAAATAAACATAAGGAATAATAATATTTAAAATGGCACTCCATATGAAAAATAAAAGTTATACGTACTCGATATAAGGTAGGACTTTCTCCGTATTCTCTAAGACATATAGATGTGCATGGTTCAGCAAGTCCCGATCAACTAAGCTTACTGTGCAACCTGATAATGGCTTCGAAACTCCCATCTTTTGGCTTGAAGGCACTCTAACTGTACTAACATCAGATAAATGCTTGATGCAAAACTTTACAGCTTCTTCAGCTATATACCGCTCAGCAATGCAACCTTCCGGACGATTACGGTTCTGAACATACCCTTTTAGCATTTTCATATACCTTTCAAACAGATATATCCATCTAAAATATACTGGGCCACATAGACGAACTTCTCTGACAAGATGTACTAGTAGATGAAACATGATATCAAAGAATGAAGGGGGAAAGTACTTTTCAAGCAAACACAAAGTAACTACTACATCTTCTTTCAACTTATCTAGCTTGGAAACATCTACCGTCTTTGCACATATAAAATTGAAGAAGAAGCACAGTCGAGTTATTGCATATCTTGCAAGCTTCTTCAAAACAGAACGAATTGCCACAGGGAGCAATTGTTGCATCAAGGTTTGACAATCATGAGATTTAAGTCCAAGAAGTCTTGAATCTTTTAAAGATACAAGATTTTTTATATTTGAACAATTCAGGGACCTTCATACCATAAAAAGAATTACAAACCGCTCTCTTCTCTGCTCTTGACAAATTCCAAGGCCCTGGAGGCAAGCGAGTACGTCTTTGTCCATACTCGAGTTGCAAATCAGTTTTGACCCCCATGTTCAATAAATCTAATCGAGCAACAATCTCATCTTTATTTTTTCCAAGGATCTCCAGCAATGTACCAATGATACTATCACAAACATTCTTCTCAATATGCATAACATCTAGGACATGCCTCACATGAAGGTATTTCCAATACTCGAGATCAAAGAATTTTGATTTCTTCTTCCAACAAACTCTGTCACCATCATTCTCACCAACATTTCCCCCATTTTTCGAGCCCCATATGTAATTAATATCTTCAACCATGTACAACACTTCTTCTTCGATTAATGGCTCGGGAGGCATGCCATATTCACACTACAACATAGAAACCCTTCTATGACGTCTGATTTGTGTCATGAAAGGCATTTAATGACGCGGATCAGGCGTCGTTACCCACGTCGTCCAAAGGAGGGGTCATAGAAACTTTTTCAAAGCACGACCTTTGTTCCGCGTCATGGAATAGGGTTTCAATGACGCGGATAGCGTATCGTGGAAACTTTTCCAAAGCATGACGTCTATTCTGTGTCATGGAATAGGGTTTCAATGACATGGATAGTGTGTCGTGAAAACTTTTTCAAAACACGACGTCTGTTCCGCGTCGTGGAATGAGGTTTCAATGACGCGATTAGTGTGTCATGGAAACTTTTTCAAAACACGTCTATTTCACGTCATGGACTAAGCGCCATTAAACTTAACGACGTTGCTAAGACGTCATTGAAATATTTTTCATGACACAGTTTAGACGTCGTTGAAATTCTATAATTTTTTTTTAATAAAAATTCTTAATCTGTATATATATCACATCATATCAATTATACAAAAAGAAATTAATATATAAAAGCAAAAATATAGACACAAAGACAAAGTACTCTAAATTATATTTCTATTATTCAAAATGATTCTAGTATATTAAAATTGTCTTTAACGAATCCCACTAAACCGTTTCCCTTTCAAGAAGTTAAAAATATGAAGAATGAAGCTTACAGGACAAAACAAAAACCACAAGGCGTTTTGGTATTTTTATCCAAGCCCATAATTATCCTCTTAATCCTCCAGCACGAGAAAAAAGCTCATAAACTTGCTCTTCTATTGTGTAGAATGACATATTCACAATATAAACAGTTGTTGATGCCAGGAGTGCTTGTTCAAATTCCTCCAGTGATCCAGTAAATCTTCTATCCCGATATTGTGAAAGCTTCGATTGATCCTAATGAAAAAAGAAAATGATGAAAGATGGGGTATTTGCAGAGAGGAATAAAATGCATGTTGGATCAGAGGATAAGCTGTATTTTCATTAGTATTTCAAAGTGAGACTTGAAGAAGCATACAATAATCTAGAAATGCACAGATGTATATTATGGCCACTGAAGTTCCCTTTTTTTTCTATAACAGAAACGGTTATGAAAATAGAGTAAAATGAATCTAAGAAATCATAATGAATATATCCCATTTAGTTCTAAAAAAAAATTCACAGCACATGAATAGCACAGGGTACTTGAACAAGAAATCTGGTTAAGTAATTACTATGAACAAATCTTTTTAAACATATTTCAGAACTTCTCTAGCATCCATGCATGTGATTGATTTGAACCAAATCGAAGACCACATCTTTTATATGACGACATCTTTTTAAGAAAAGAAAAAGGCTGCTGAATGACCTTGGATACAATAATTGTTCAGAGTCATTCACAATATATGTCCTGGCAGTGTGCCACTATTCTACACAGCTTCTCCAGAAACTCCAAAACAATAGCACTTAAAGTATTTATAAAAATAAATAAATAAAATGGAAACTACGGCATATTTGACTTGACAACAAAGAAAAGAGAAGATAGAACTTAAACATTCCCCTTTGCACATTGCACTGTCTAATTCTCAAACAGAAGAAAATAAAAGGGGTGGGGGCTTAACTTCTAATTTCCATCTCTCACCCACCATGAGTTTCTTTTCCTTCCTTCTTTTCTTGTAATATTATCTCCTGCCCTCATATTACCAAAATGGAATATTTTACACCTTTCTCTTCAAACGGAAAAGAAAAACCTAGTGCATTGACTTAGATTTTTCACTCCGACAAACAGAAACTTGACACTAGTACTAAATTTAAAGTCCAAGTTGAGAAGAAGATCAATAAAATCCAAGACTACTTTTCCTTGAATAAAGCCATCACCGTCTGCAAACTGAAGGCAAATCCACCTCTGTTTAAAAATAAAATAAAAACTCTACTCACTGTCCATGGGCAAATACCCCACAGTATTATGGTTTAGAATTTAGGCACCAAAAGAATTGATTCATTAATTGATGAATTCTAATAGAAAAACTGAAACATTAATTCATGGAAAACTTAACTGGGACAAGCAATCGAAAACAACAATCTTACTTTCATCTGAGTTTATACTTCATCTCAAGCCTATCAAGCAATCACCACCAAACTAGAAACCAAATTAATGTAAACAAAAACAAAACAGAGCAAACCCAATATCTCATTCAATATCACAGATCACTTAATCAGAAACCAAGTTAAAGTTTCACCTGTCTTGCAGGCCTCCCTTACTGCAGCTGGCTGCACCTCTGTAGCCTACAGAACTCAGCAGCCAAATCCAACACCACAAATAAATATAGAAATTAAAACAGCAAAACAAAATCACAATAGCATCAACAAAATTAAAACAAAAAGGAAAAGAGGGAGATGATACCTTGATAAAATCTTGGTCTCCAATCAAACGAATGTTAGGATATAATCTTGAACATACCCAAATTGAACCACCAATGTCAAACCTAACTGAGGCTTCCGAAAAATCAACCACCATCAACCATGGCTCAGTGCAACCAGATGGAGATTTGTGACTTCGAAGGAGATGAAGATCTGTGACTTCAAAGGCGAATAAGAGAGATAAAATGAGAGGGAATCAGATATTTGAAGATGAAGCATTTTGGAACTAAAATTGGGTTTTTGGAATTGAAATTGGGGGAAGAATAGAAATTTTTGAAGGTTTAAATTGAAACATTTGAGGTGAGAGAGAAAATTTAAAAGGTAAGCTGGGGTAGAGTGTTGAGAGCTTTCTGAATTTGGGTTAGGAATTTTTCAGAGTGGTTTGGGAGAGAGGCTTGCAGTCTGAGACAGAAGAGAGATGAGAGAGGATTTGAGTTTAGGGGCTGGAGAGAGAATAACACGCACCAAACTTAAATTTGGTGAAAAAAAGAGCGAAAAAAATTTAAAATCTGTGACGCAGAATAGACGCCGTCAACTTTATGACGCAGAATCCACGTCGTCTCATATAAGTATTTCATGATGTGTAGAAGACGTCGTTATTTGAAGGGTATATCTATGACGCAAATCTTGCGTTGTCGTATAAGGTGTATCTATGACACAGATCTTGTGTCATCGTACAAGTACTTCATGGCGTGCAGAAGACGTCATTAAATTCACAACGTTAATGACGTATGATAGGCACCGTCTAAATGTACTAGAATCAATGACACACATTCAGCGTCATTAAAAATGATTTTAATGACGTGTCCAACGAATGTCATGATAACGGAGTCATAAACTCACTTCAATGACGCATTTTAAAAACACGTCATGGTTTATTACATTTAATGACGTGGATTTTCGATGCGTCATTAAATCTGTGTCATAAAAAGGCATTTTTATTGTAGTGTCAGGTTTCCCATTAAAAGCTGCACGCTGCCTCCGATATGGATGATTGATTCGTAACCATTTTCTATGCCCAATGTAACAATTTTTGTGACCATTTTTCAACATGTGACTAGGTGTATCATCGCCGCATATTAAACAAGCTTTATATCATTTAACGACACAACCAGATAAGTTGCCATAGGCAGGAAAATCATTAATTGTCCACAGTAATACACCTCTGAGTGTAAAGTATTATCCTATATGTGCATCATACACTCCTCTAATCCTATCTCACAGAGATTTTAAATCATCAATCAAAGGCTCTAAGTAGACGTCTATATCATTTACAGGCTGTTTATGATCGGAAATCAATAAGGTCAATATCATGAACTTTCGTTTCATGCATAGACATGGTAGGAGATTATATGTAACTAAGATAATTGGCCAACAACTGTATCCCTCTAATCCTATCTCACAGAGATTTTAAATCATCAATCAAAGGCTCTAAGTAGACGTCTATATCATTTACAGGCTGTTTATGATCGGAAATCAATAAGGTCAATATCATGAACTTTCGTTTCATGCATAGACATGGTAGGAGATTATATGTAACTAAGATAATTGGCCAACAACTGTATCTGCTACTTAAAGAACTGTGGGGATTGAGTCCATTAGATAAGAGAGTCAATCTCAAGTTTCTCGACTCTTTACCAAACTCGGACTATTTATCATCAACAAGTTTCTAAGATGGGGAATCTGCTAGATGAGACATCTGACCGTCAACTGATTTTCTAGCAGTATGCCAAGTCAAACTCTTAGCTGTTTTTATGTGATTGGAACATCCTTTTAAACCTTGGAATTTGAGGAAAATACCACACCACCTTCGCTGGCACACCCTCTTTCAAGATTGAATATTTGCATTCTTTTCACCTTGAGACACTACAAATAGGATAATTAGTTAAATCTTCATAATCCTTCCTATACAAGATACAGTCATCACTATGTCAAAAATTGGCTTTAGCAACACTACATTAGCATCAGTAAACTGAGAACCGATGCTTTAAGTACATTAGGCATCACTTTTATAAATTATGATGCTAAAGGGTAAAAAGACATCAGCAGAAACATTTTGTTTTTCTTAGCGATGCCTTAATGCCAATTTAGCATCGTCTGTTCTAACGACTGATGCCTAAAGTTTTTTTCTTTTTTTTTTTTAAAAGTGAGGGGCTTTTTTTTTTTGGCAAGCACTAATGCTAAAATTATAGTCAACGCTCCAGCAGAAAAATTTCGCGCTCCCTCTCCGTTTTTCAGACTTCCCTCGCAAACTCCGCTCCTTTCCCTCACATTTTTTTCAATCCCTCCCAAACTCGCTCACCCATTTTCAGCTTCTACCTCCTGAAAAAAAAAAATGAACTCACAATTTTTTTGGATCTCCTCCATCTCCTTCTTCTCTTTCCTCCATTTGGACACTTGAAGTTTGCCCACAACAAAAATAACCTAAGGCATTCGAAGAAAGGGAGAGCCATAGGCATCCTCCTCCTCGTCGAGAGAGAGCCATGGAAGTCCCCTCGTTAGGGTTTTACTTCGGCGTCGGCGTCCTCTTCCGCAACGGCGTCCTCTTTCTTGTCGGTGTCGTCCTGTGAGATTATTTAAGTTATGTTTTGGGAAATTTCAGTTAGGGTTTCAATTTATTGAGTAATTTCTCTAATCTTACTGTGTTTTTCTATCTTAGGATGGGTTGTTGTCTCTTGGATCTCACTACCTCTCTGGACTTTAATCTAATGTATGAAAAACAATGTCATTAATACATCATACAAACTATTTTTTGTTTTCCAAGTTTACCCTTATTAAATGTATTATTATTATTTTAATAACAAGCTAATTTTTTTTTACAACTTTCTTACCACCTTGTTAAAAAAATAAAATAAGAAAATAAAAACTAATTTTTTTTTTTTTTGCAAAGAGAACGTGTGTTTTGTTAAAAACAAAATAAAGATGATAACAACATCTTGAAACAAACTTTATTTTTAAAGAAAAAAAAATGACGTTTTTTTAATTATATAAAATTATTATTTAATTTTTAATAATGTGCTAAAGAAGTGAAACAAAATTTGAATAAATTGAAGGAAATATAAAAGCTAATATATTTTAAAAGGGTAAACTTGGAAAACAAAAACTAACTTGTGTGATGCATTAATGACATTGTTTTAAGTGTAAGGAAAATGACACTTGTCATGAGAAGAAGGAAGAAGGTCCAAAAGAGAAGGTTAGAGAGAAGGTTGCTAGCATTCCTCTTCTATGTTTGGGTGTTTCTGATTTGGTGTTAATGTTTCTGATTTGTTTTCATCTTTCTTCAATCTCCTACCTTTTTCGTTTTATTTATGTATTAATTGTTGATGCTCTTTTTCGGAGAGGGTCAACTTAGAGATAGGGGTTTGTCTTGAGCAAGAGAGGGGACTGGGCCTCCAGTAAAGGGCTAGCCTGCGGAAGACAAAAATAGGAGAAGCAGTCGTTAAGCTTCGAACACCGGTGTGGTGCCGGCCGAAGGCTCTCCGATGCCTGAGTCGGCTAGGGGTAGTGACTATTGCAAAGTAACAGTAATAGTGAGAGAGAAGTTACCCTTTTTCTTGGTTACTGTTCCCTATTTATAGGGAAGTGAAAGTAGGAGGTTTGCACAAAGTTTCGATGTGGGACTTTGTGCAAGTTGCTGCGATGATGACACGTGTCTCCTGTGTTTAGGGTTTGGCAGTTCGGAGCTTCGGTAGGTAGTTGTCCTTTCGGAAGCGCATCTCCCTTTGACCGTGAGGAAGGCATTGCTT